TGCCAAGGTTGAAAAATATTGCCTTAGTTGTTATCCTCCACTATTCTAGTTGTGAGTATTCATTTTATTTTATCTTTTGCCAGTATACTGGTCATTTTCTTCTCCAGTAAGAAGAAACAACCCTTCCCCAAAAATTGCAATTTTAAAATATGTAACTTTGTGATGAATTTGTCAATTTGGCAAGAGTTCAGCTTCAATTGGATTATCTTTGCCTAGAATCATTGATAAGTCAGTCATGAAACTGTGTTCAAATTTGCTTGAATTAATTAGTTAACTTCAGAGATAAATCAGTATTTACCCTGCATGTATTTTATACCTTTCACAATCTTTGATTAAATAGGGAAACTATTTAGACAGTACACTTTGTGTCAGGACATAAGCAATCTATTACCCAGCAAGTACTGTGTGATATTACAGAACCAAAATGAAGACTGGCATATGTTTAAACCAATCAGGGCAATGAATTCTGTATATGTATAAGAAATGTACTTAAGAGAATGCATTTATCTACCATTACTTTCATTTCTATTGAGTCACAAATTCAAATCCAGTATATATGTTTTTTAAAAAGAACTCCTCAAACAAAGTAATCTGTAATTAAGTACAGGGAACATTTCTCTCCATTAGTTACTCTTTAGTCTTGTAATTTCAATTTTACAGTCTTTTTCCCAACTCAATTTACAAGACCAACCTCCCCAGCTGTGTTTTGTAAATGAGTGTATTTTGAAAGCAAATATTTCCTCCTTGCCATCCAAAGTCCGGCATGTTGACAGATGTCTCCTTATTGGGCAAATATGTTGAGGCAAGTACTCATCTTCATAGAAACAAGAAATCTCTAAGGAATTGTGATGTGCTCCACATTTTATTTTGTAGTTTCAGTGAATTCAGTGAATTTCAATATCAAGTAATTATTACATTTTAACAGTATGGGAATAATGTTGATACTGACATCATAAACAATCTGTACAGTATCTGAGCAATAAACAAACTAGCTTTTGAATTTGAGAGAGAACCAGCAAAATGTTAAAAGACTTTTGCATGGATCTTTTAAGCAGGATCACCCAGTTACATCTACTAAGTATTTAAAACGCACAACACTTGACAAGGAAAGTGCGGGAACATATCAAATCCACTTGTTATGAAATAAGAAATCCCATGGATATATAAAGAAACAATAAGACAGGTAGATCTCAACTTACAGCCATTTGTTTAGTGACCATTCGATATTATAGTGCCACTGAAAATAACTTACAATTGGTCCTCACACTTGACCATCGTAGCATCCTTGCAGTCATCTGATCAAAGCTGCTAAACCCTTATCACTAACTTTCCTTTCTTCTCCTCCATAGGAACCAAAATGATTTTCCCTGGTTCTCTACCACTTCCTTCGACCTTGGAAGGTAAAGAACCAAAAGATGGTTTAACCTACATTTCTGTATTGAGCAGATGGTTGGACTCAGCAACCTAGTGACTCATTCCAGCTCTGAGTCAATGAAATGAAGTAATTCTACACTCTTAAATTTAATAATGAATGCAAAGAGGCTCTGCAGCTGTTAGATTTTTCTGGTAGAAGCACAACCAGGAGTACTAGCTCTATCTTTATTTTAAGACAGAACTTTACATTAAAAGAACTTTGCAAAACTTTGAATTTCTCCTCCTTCTTTAACTTTCTGGAAAACTAGATAGGATCCCTTCTGAAATACTTCTCATGCCCGCTTCTTCTTCTGTGATCTGAGATATCTTTTATCTGATGGTGTGTTTGCAACTCTTCCTCCTGTCTCCCATGGTCATTCCCACTTGCCATGATAGCAGCTAAGTAGTTTTGATAGCATTTGGATGGGAGAAATCCAGGAAATACAAGGGTTGTCAGCTAAATTTAGTGTTAAATTTAAAAAAAAACCTCTAGAACAAAGCAGTAGCAACCACTTTCTAAGAGCATACTTGAGTCCCATATAGAGAATAAGAGTTAAATTTCATTTGAAGAAAGCTTTAGAATTCTGTGGAATGAACGATGTTGTCTTCTCTAATCATACATAGTTGCTTATACCAACTTACACCCAATATGTAAGCAAGAATAATCATTACAGTTTGATTTCTCTTCAGAATTCAGAATATACATTGGGAGTGTTTTCAAGTTAAGCTTTTATGATTTAATCAACCTGCCTCATTAATTGTACAGAAGATTCAGATTACACAGATTTTTCTGTCTTTTTTTCCTTACCACAGTATTAAAGTGAATTGTCAACAGAGGAAAAGATGGAAGAATTTGGCAGTCCTAAGAACTTTTCCATCAGGAAGAATGGAGGCTTATAGTTTTGTCACAGAATCTCAGTATCATTTATCTGGTGCTACTGACATTACATTTTAAAAACAAAAGCATAAAGAAAAAGATATTGGGTTACAAACTGACTGGGTAACACAATTATGTGTGCATGTGTGTGTGAATTGCTTAGAAAACAACTTCAAAGATATCATGAGCCTAAATCAAAACTCACGACATGGCAATTTTGTTGGTTCAAACCAATTATCTCTTTCCCAGTCGGATGAAAGTTGTTGAAATTCTGTGCAACTACCAAAGGTGATATTTTACTCACAAAACCAAAAGAGAGTGTATTTTCAAGCAGTTAGCAACCTCTCTGGAGGCCAATTGTTGGTTTTTAAGCACTCAGCACTTTGTGGCTCTTATTGACCATTGTGCTTAAAGGTGAGTTTTGTTTGTTTGTCTGACATATAACCCTTACCAATTCAATCCAGTTGTTCACAAAAGATGCTCTGTGTAAAAGTCCTCCTTCACTGATATAAAGTGCTGACTTTGTGATTTCCAGCTGTATAAAAAAATATTACAAACAGCATTGTCAAACAAGTCTTTACAAAAACCACTGAGAATAGGGCATAAGGCCACTTTTTTTAATCAGCCTGCCCAATAAATACAGATAGACTACTAGCATAAACAAAAAACTCATTTTGTTCCAGCCAATGTCACAGTTAAGTTGAAAAGGGAAAAGTTTGTAAAATGTATGGACATGACCATATATCCACCATGTACAAATATAAACAGAATTTCTAACTGTTGAGGACTTCAGCACATAATGCTGGCCTCAACCCACCCCCAGCTTACTAAAATATGACTTCTGTTTGTTTGTTTGTTTGTTTGTTTGTTTGTTTTTGCTTGACTTTAGAAGGGTTTCAGCTTCTGCCATTGCAACCAAGTCTGTTGCAAATCATTCTGAGATGGGGAGGGCAGTTCTGTTGTTATTGGCCATCACACACTATGACAGAAACGTCCCCTCCAAGTCCTTGTCCACGAATTTTTAATGTTGTCTGCCTTTTGGCAGTGCAGGAGTTACAGCTCTTCCATTATGGCAAAAGGCCATGACTTCCACCTCCATTACCAGTCCTCAAGCAAGAAGACAAGCTTTTTTGCCACTTTGCCCCACTTCTCTTCTCACAAGGAAAGGGAAGTAGAGTGGACACAGCTTCACATTATTTTAACACAAAGATAGACATTGTTCTTTATTAGGATACAATTAAGTAATATGCAGTGAATTCTAACTGAAGGGTGGATATGGGTGGAGGTGAATCAATTCAGATATTACTTCGTTTTCTATCCTCCTCTTGGAAGATCCGCCAGTGCAGCATAATAGCTAATATATTGGATTAGGACTGGGAAAGCCCACACAGGCATACTTTCTCCGCAGTTGTCAATGGATATTGACAACTGGGGAGATATTTTGGCTTGGGCTACAATATATTTTGCTTACATGGGGGCATCTGCCTGAATATCTAACTCTCGAGAAAGGATGTTATCATGTTAATTCTTCTTGCACACAAGTCTACCAATCTTCTTTTTTATATAAAGTTTTATTTTTTAACAGAATTCAATAATAATTATTCAACAAAAACGTGTTGTCTGAGTATCTTATTCACTAATACAAATTAAATTCCTAATCCCTAAATCTTTTCTCTAACCATTGATAAAATAGGTCCCAAGTTTGAAAATATTCTGTTTCTTCTTTTTCTTTCAACCTTAAAGTAAGTCTGTCCATTTCCACATAGTCTAATATTTTTTTTTGATTATTTCTTCTTCTGGTGGTATTTCTTTGTTCTTCCAATATTGTGTAAATATAATTCTTGCCACTGTTATCACACTGTAGAATCAAATATGTACTTTGCTTATCAAGTTTTTCTGGCATTATATCTAGTAAAAAAAATCAGGTTTATAGTGTATGTGTTTCTCTAACATTTTTTCTAACCAAGTGTGGATTATTGTCCAATATCTCCTTGCTTTAACACATGTCCACCACATATGATAATAAGTACCTGATTTGTGTTTACATTTCCAATATTTCTGACATATTTTTAAACATTTTTCCTAATCTTGTTGGTGGCAAGTGCCATCTATAGAACATTTTATATAAATTTTCTTTATATGAAGCTGACATTGTCAATTTATAGTTTCTTTCCCACGAACTTTGCCACTTCTCTAAGTCTATATTATATACAAAATTCTTTGCCCATGCTATCATCGTCTCTTTTACTTGTTCATCCTCCATTTTTAAATTTAATAAGAAATTAATTTAATCTTCTTTTAAAACCCCTTCTTTATATTCAGCTATCTTCCAAAAAACCCTACATATCTAAACAAAATAAAACTCTGGAGGTGGTTAGTAAACTAAGATCCCAGCTCCATCTTGTTTATACATTGGTTCCTTTCTTGGCTAGTTTTTTTTTTTGTTGTTGTTAATTTTAATGTTTTAACTTTTAATGTTTCATGTTTTAATGTTGTTTTAGTTCTGTTTTATGTTGTAAGTTGCAGTTACTCTGCAGTAAAAAAAAGAAAAGGAAACAAAAGGAGAAAGGAAAGGCCAATACTGGGGAAAAGAACTTGCATTACAAATTTTTCACTTGTTGTGACAAGGTTCCATAAGGCTATTCTCACATTGACTTTATTATTCATTGGTGATGGGAACAACCTCATTTGAACTTCTCCAGTTTTGCCACAAAATTACACTGAGCTCCATCTTTCAATGTTATTGCCAGGGGTCTTAAAGTGCAGTTGAATCTTTGCTACATAAAAATGTCATTCTTTCATAAGATTGATAATTCAATGTCAATTTTTTTAAAATAGTTGGGGCATAGGAGGGATGTGGGAAGAAGCAGGAGAAAGCCCTGAAAATATGTTTGCAAGCCCTTCCCACCCAAAAGATTGCTTTCCCCCTTTTTCATTACAGGGATGCAGGTATAGTGATCTTCTGAAGGTCCCTATCCCTGTAACAATTTATCTCCGACCTAGCTCTTTTGTCAGGGCGATCTAGCAGGGATGTGGGCATTGTGGGAAGAAGGTAGCTCTGTTCCTAAGCCTGCAATCCATCTTTTGCTCCATCCTACAACCTCTTTCCTCCCTTAAGCTGGGTTGATTCTGGACAAGGGGCATAGCAGCCTCCCCAAAGAACTCGATTTTAACTCAACAATTGTAAAGATTTACTACCGTACACCTTTTGTTCATAGTCCCCAAGCGAAAGAAAGCAGCCAACTCCTTTTTGCTATTGGCGGTTGATACAAGGAGGGCGGAAAAGGAAACCGGGGCCTCAGCCAATCATTGCACTGAAATTCTTCCACATAAGGGACAGCAGCGATAATTCTCTGCTCAAGGCTGCGTGGTTTGGGTTGACGTGCTTTCTGCCAGCTCAGTAGTGGCGAGAAAGAACAACCGGAGGTGGGCGAAAGGAGTTTAGTTTTCTCACTGGACCAGGAAGCTTTGAGTCAGCCAGTCTGTCTCAGCCCTTTTCCCTCCCGCATAACATTGTTGCTGAAGATCTTAAAGTAAACAAAAGACCCTCTCTGAGCTTTCAGAGAAAGGCAATGCCGAAATTAAAAGTCCCGTGGCTTTTCATTCTTCCCCGACTGCGAGGAGAAAAATTCCTTCTGCCTCTTTCGCCGCCTCTTCCCCAAGTCGAAATGGGGAAACAGGCGAAAACCGAGGCGCTCGTCCTAAGAGGATGCAGGGTTAGAAAAGCGGCGGCAGCAGCGCTTGCCAGTCTCTCGCCTCCCGAGCTGGCGCTAAAGCAACCCGCCGAGCAGGGGGGAGTAGCGGCGACGGCTTTTTTTCTGCCGCCCCTCACTTGCTCAGCCTTCGCTGCCGCTGAAGCGGACCCTCCGGCCCCTTTCCACAACAAGGGAGAACTCCGTGTGTCCAGAATCGCGTTTCCCGCTCCCGGCCTCTCTTGGCGGCCTCTGGGAGGTAGCAAAGGAGGAAGGCGGCGCAGTTTCAGGAAGAGGGAGGCGGGGAGGGAGGAAGAGGCGGGCCGCCGTTCCTGCTACCAGGCCGCGGTCCTGGTCGGGCCTTTTGCTGGCGGAGCAAGAAGGGGGGACCGGAGCCCCAAAGGTGGAGAAAAGAGCTGGCTGGTCCCTTCCCATACAACTTCCCCAATGTCAGACTCGGCGGCTGCACCGGCGGCTGAGCTCTGAGCGGCGGCTCCCATCTTTCCCCATTCAACTCTCCCCTTCCTCTTGATCTTTTTTTTTTTTTTTCCCCTGCTTGCAGGGGCGCGACTCCCAAACTGCGACCCCGGAAAGACCGCGGCCTGCCCGGTCAAAAAAAAGAAACGGAGAAGGGAGTCCGGGCTCGGTTTCTGCGTGAGTCACAAAATGACGAGCCGGGACCCCCCGGCCTGGACTTCCCGGCGGCCCCAATAAAGCCCGGGCGGAACAGCCTCGTATGAGGCTATTCCGCGGCCCAGGGGGTGCCTCCGCCAGGCCCTCCTTCCCCTGCTGTGGTGGTCGCTGAGCAGAGGAGCCGGAGACGCAGGCTGGCGAGGGGAGCCCCTCGAGGTCCGCCTGGGTCCCTTCCACCCCGTCAGACGCGCCCCCTTCTTGCACCCGGTGGGAAGGGAAGGCATGTCTTCTCCCAGCTCCGTGGACATGATTGAAACCCCCCCGGTGCTCAACTTTGAAGAAATCGACTACAAAGAGATAGAGGTGGAAGAGGTGAGAAGGTCTGCGAGGGTGGGAGGGAGGGGGGAAGCTTGTCCCTGGGGTCCTAAACGTCACTCTTCTGGAGAAACTCCTGTATTTCAAAGAAACTTGCTCAGATGTCTGTGTATCTCTGCGATCTTGATTTGGAAGAAATGTCTGCTCGGTATATTGGGAATGTCTCTTGAAGAAAGGTAACATTGCAAAAATGCCACAGCTCAGGGATGCCTTGACTTGGGTTTTTCTCAGTTGACCCAAGATGGACACAAGCCAATTGTTTCCATTGGTGAAGAAAAGATATTCAGGATAATGGCACTACCTACAGTGCAAAATGTTGACCGCAGGACAAAAAGATTTAGATATAAATTCACACTTAGGAAGCTCACTAGATAATAGTGAGCCTCTATCTCTCCAGAGAGAAAAATTGAGTTAAAAATTGCAACACCACCACAGGCCCAATGGGCTTTATTTAAGCTCCAGGGCTAGGCTTTTATCCTAAAACCTAGTTTTAAAGTTAACCTGTTGCAAATTGGTATGATTGAACAGACAAAAAAAACTCCATATTGCCCTTACTAGTTGCAGTTCCTATCATGAAAATTGTTTTATCTTGCAGTTCTTTAAGCATATATCTAAAACTTGTAATTTTTAAAGACAGTAGTTGTATGTCCTACGGAAATAAGTGGAAACTGCTTAAAACTATATCTGCATATTGGTTTCATCATTCAAAATGATTCCAGAATTATGTATGATTAAGTATTTTTTTAGACAGATCTAATCAATAATCTCCAAATCTCTTTTCTGCAAGGAAAGTGATACCAAGGAAGATCTTAGTAATGGCATTTGTGTTTGTGAAGTCACACTTAAATATAAATTGTATTTTGCATATCTGATAGTAAATCTTTTAAACTGTACAATAATGTAGAATTAATAAATGATATAAGAAAAGCTTGTTTTTAATAAAAAGGTTTTTCTTTTCTACTTGTTTTAAAAGCTGCAGATTGGTTGTTTTAACACTACTAAAATTTGTAGCTTATAATGTTATCCTACAATATTAATATTGTTAAAAGTGTTCATCGGTTGTGTTACCTTCTCCATATTGAATTTGGAAATGTTAGTATCATCTAAGCCAGTGATGGCGAACCTTTTAGAGACCGAGTGCCAAAAAAACTGGCCCCGCCCCTGCTCTGCCCCCCCATCCCCCACCCCGCCTACCCGCAGGGCCCCTCACCGCCTCCAGGGCCCGCCGCAGATCGCCCAGGCAGCCCAGCAGTGCTATGGCAGTCATGCCCTCTGCCTGCACCCTGCAGCATCATCTGTGCACAATGGGGTGTGAGGGCAGTCTTGTCTACGCTGCCTGGCTGCCATGTCCTTGACTGCGCTGATCCGCGTGGGCCACACTCAGGGACGACTCTCCTTCAGGTGGGCTGCTGGAGAGGAAGGGGTCACAGGGGGAGGCTGGGGCAATGGCACGTGTGCCCACAAACAGGGCTCCGAGTGCCGCCTCTGGCACCCGTGCCATAGGTTCGCCACCACTGATTTAAGCCCATATGAAGAAATGGTATCTTTTAAAAAAGTAGTTATGTCTTATAATAATGGTACTACCAATAAAATTTTATAGAAAAAGCTCTATGGAGGTATATATTTTGCTACGTCAAGTGTGATGCTCCTTTTCTTGTAAAGATACACTCCCATGAAATATTTTTGGTGAGTATATCTCATTAGACTCTGTGGGATTTAGCTTTTCTGTCTGGGCTGAATGACCTGGTGGCTAGGTACACACATCATGCCAATTTGTTTGGATTTCATTTTGTGAGATGTGAGAACCAGGCCACTATTGCTTATTCAATAAATTATGCCTAAGCCTTGGTTTGATATAAAATGTGAATATAATGTTAATTTCACACCACCTGAGTTGCAATTTCCCCTATGCATACATTTTAAATCCACAGTAAATAGTGGCTAACAGAAATTAGATATTTTTTGTTAAGCTCCATACTCAATGTATAAGAGAAAAGAAGAAGGCTTTGATTCAGATATTTCCAGCATGCTCCTCTCTTCTAAGGTTCTTTTTAGGTATATTTCTAGACATCATAAAAAAATCTTATTCAACCTATCAACTGTGTAAAGTAAGTAAAACCCTATGATTTTTTTTACCAAAACTGAAAATTGCCAAATGCCTAGCAGGCTATTGTGAAGAACTTTTCAAAGTTGACAAGTTATAAGTTTGGATAGACCTTTTGCAAACTATAAATATGTATTTTTCTATGACAATGTAGAATATTAAGAAAAGGATTAATGGAGACAGTGCAAGTTGTTTTAATAGTTATTTCAAAATCTCCAATTGTCTTTTTATTTAGGTTGTTGGACGAGGAGCCTTTGGAGTAGTTTGCAAAGCAAAATGGCGAGGAAAAGATGTGGCCATTAAACAAATAGAAAGTGAATCTGAACGAAAAGCCTTCATTGTAGAGGTATAATTTCACTTTAGAATTTGTTCAAAAGAATTCGATAGGTACCAGAATAATTTTTAATAAAGGATGTACAGTAAAAATTGTACTATCTGTAAGTTGCAATTAGAACTGATATTATTAGTTCCTGGATTTATACAGGGGATGTTTTTTATATACATGGTATTTTTGAAATGAATTTGGGTTATGGCAGACATGTCAAACACAAGGCCCGGGAGCCGGATGCGGCCCGCGACGTCGTTTCATGTGGCCCGTGAAGCCATCCTGGAAACAATGAGGGAGTGGACCCCACTGCCTTGGCCCTGGCCCTGGCCGGCTGGGAGCCAATATACAATTTTGTGGTGGCCATCTATGCTGAAATACATTCAGTCTTAGCTCCACAAGGCCATCTGGAAACAGCGAGGAAACAGCCCCTGCCGCATCGGCCCAGTCTCCTGGGTGCATGCTCACCCTTTGTGAGGAATGAAGAAATGCACCATTGCCTGGAAGTGGCCAGCAAATGGCCCTCGCCTACTTCACTTATCCAGCTTGATGAGCTCTGGGGGAGGGGTTTCGGCAGGCTCTTCCAGTGAACCATGCCTTGGCACTTGCCCCGGTCCCACCTCCCTCTGCCAGAGACCCTCAGATCTGTCCCAGTCCTGCTCAGGCCCCCACAGACACCCTTGATGCGAACAATGTAGAGCTGCCATGCCCCACAGTAGGCCACACCCACTCCAGCCATGCCCACCCAGTAGGCCACGTCCACTCTGGCCATACCTACCCGGCCCCCCCGAGGACAACCGCAGTGCTGATGCGGCCCTCAATGAAATTGAGTTTGACACCCCTGAGTTATGGATAAGAGAGTGAACTCGGAATCACAGTTCAAGAGATCACTGAACCGCACACTCCCTGGGTTCTTTTCTTTTGGGATACTGCATTTTCTAAGTGATATCAGCATGGGCTCTTAAGTATTCTGCTTCTTTGGTCATACTGACCCAAGCAAGTTAATATTTCCCCTTTTATTTTCAATATGTGCAGAAATCAGTCTTCTCTTCTTCTTCCTAGTGATTTGATATACTTAGTACTAGAACTGAACATTTATAACTAATTCACACAGAATGTATGAACATGACAATACTTGATTTATGTTATAAATAACAAATGTCATTTTTCCAGTGACTCCATTTAGGATCACCATAATCATAATTTTCAAGTACACCTGAAATTGTTCAAGCAGCTTATCCACTAGGAATAAATCATGTTGCTTATATACTGCTTAACATCTATGAGTGAGCTACTTCCTTTCCATCAAATGTGAAGTGTATGTTCAAAGGGCGATTGCTTCTTAGGTTATTGAGCAGAGGCATTATTTAAAATTACATTCAGTAAAAAAGTTGAATATATTTAGGTTGACTTCTAGGGCAGAACTTTCTGATAGGAAGTACTAATGCATACATCTTACACTTAAAGCTATCCAATAAATTCTGTTCCTTTCTGTCTAATATTTATGAGTACTTTATTATCATGCCATTAAGTTAATTGATATTTTAAAAGGATTAGGATTATATTGTGCTTTGGATTTGAAAGTAAAATGTGTTTCAGGACGTGCAGAGGCAGAAATATAGAGCTCATAGAGCAGCTTTGGCTAGTCAGTGTTTGTCTTTTGGCTAGTGTTTGTCTTTTAAAAAAAAAACACTCAAAAAGAATTAATGAACTGTCCCAGAAACCACATACTACATAAAAGAAAATACATCCAGCAGGGGCTCTGTCTTCATTTTATGCAAAGTCTGGGAGAATAGCTAGAGGTCTTTAAAAACTTCCTGAATGAGGCCCATTTGGATCTCTACAAGGATATCATTCTAGAGGGCAGATACTGCAGCAGAAAAGACACAGATATTCTTGGTTTAAGGAGCTGCAAATGGAATCTATGGTTCTATTTTTAAAAAACTTTTTTTTTTGCTTTCAAAACTGAAACTTCACAACTCTAATACATATATACATATGTAATAAAACCATCTGTGCAAAAGTTTATTTTAAATTTATGTGAAGCAAATTGCTGAATCTGAGGCACTTATCTCTTTTTAGCATCTTAAGCTTACAAATTCAGCATCAACCAAACACAGTATGCTGTTGATCTGATTAGGTATAAATGTACATTTGATTTGATCTAAGTCAAAACTGATCGCCTGAGTGTATCTTTTTTTTTCCCCAGCCACAGTAAGGATTCATACTTTAACTTTTTTCCATTATAGAAGACAAAAATCAATTTTGTTTATATTCATAAAAATAGTGAGAAGGATTTTTGTTACTCTGAATGCCTCAAAAAAATAATGGAATGAAGCCACTCCTTCCTTAAATCTTTTGGCAGTCTGAAAGGTGCCCATTCCAGAAGTTTGCTTTGTACTTGAGTTTGCAGAAGTTCAGAATCAGAAATACAGTACTGAATGAAGTGAAAGGCTGTCTTGAAATTATCTGGACTTGAAAGAAGGCATATGATCTATCATTTCCTCTTGATAATAAGCCAAGTATTCCTAGTCTTCCAAATTCTTTGTTGGAAATTTGTGGATGTAGGAGAATCTTTCTATGTCAGTGTTTCTCAACCTTGACAATTTTAAGGCATGTGGACTTCAACTCCCAGAATTCCACAGCCAGCATTGCTGGCTGTGGAATTCTGGGAGTTGAAGTCCACATGCTTTAAAATTGTCAAGGTTGAGAAACACTGATCTATGTGATGCTGTAGTTTATAAAGCAATTGTACTACAGCATTCTCCCAAGATAGAACTGATAAATATATTTCTGGAATCAAGTATAGATCCTGTTGATTATATCCTGATGCTACGTATGATATGCTCCCAGCGAAGATAATAGATTGATGGCAGATGAAAATCATAGAGAACATTGTTGAATTGAAATATAAACCAAGGTAGTATCATCATAGGCATTTAACAATCACATCTGATGAATTAGCATATCCATATCCTCTTAGAGAGTGACAATTTGCCCAGGAACTTTTCAGAAATTCTTTTTAAAAGGTAGCTTCTGTATTAGCCAATGCACTCTGACTAATTTAAACATGGAACTGACATGCTGCTCTTTCCTATTTGTGTGCAGAATATTATATATCATTAAACTGCTTTTTATGATCATTTATATAAAGAAAGGTTTTATTTAAGAGAACTTTAAATACATTTCTTTTTAAAATTTCAGCTTCGACAGTTGTCACGTGTGAATCATCCTAATATCGTCAAGTTATATGGAGCTTGTTTAAATCCAGTAAGTAGCAACTTTTGGACTCCACAGTCTCTTTATTTAAGTAAAATATCTGTGCCTGTTTTAATTTTATTTGGCTTATTTACATATTCTAAGTTGAGTTTTTCATTTATGAGAAAAGCAGACCTTTCGCATTCAGTTTGAAATATACAGGTTTCCAGTTTCCATTCCACCTTTGTTCTACAGATTTATTGATCAGTGTTTCGCTATTCTATTCTGGTTCTAAATTAAATGAAGAGCTGCTTAAATTTATTTCTTAATCAGCATGCATAAATGTTAATGACTGAAACATATTGTAGATGGTCACAAGAGTATTATCATGATTTTTAATATGTGTTAATGTGCATATGCAATTATGTACTTGAATAAAGCAGAAAAGAAGAAGAAAAAAAGAAACAATTACAGCTCTGACCAAATCTGTATATGTAGTTGTTTCTGCACAGTCTCAGGAGTAAAACAGAATTATATATTATTAAAATAAGATGGGAGTATTTCATAGGAATCCTTGTTCTAAATACTTCTTTCATATTAAAAAAATAATAAATTGGTCTTCTAACTTTGCTTGTGCTTTTTTCCTCATTAGGTATGTCTCGTAATGGAATATGCTGAAGGAGGTTCTCTCTATAATGGTAAGCATCATTTTTGAACTGCATTGTTCAGAACACTGCCTAAAGTTTTGCCATCTCATTTTATGTTAATGCATTATTGTATAACTTTCTTATTCATTATAATAATGTAATGACACTGACTGTTCTGGGTTGAATTTTATTGTTACACTTACAGCTTTTGTTAAGCATCATGGTCTGGCTGATGCAGCAAGTGGTACACTGGATAAATTGATAGATCGATGGATAGATTTAGATTTTTACCCAATTCAGGTTGAAACAATTCCTTTAAAATAAAGCTGACTATTTTTTTTTTCCTATTGGGGTTGACAGGCTGACAGGCATTGTAGTGATGACTCAGCAGCAAATGAGATTAAGACAAAAATAAATCAAATATTATTAACATGCTCAACAGATATTGCAAATCAGTTGGAATACAAAGAAGGGGGTAGTCAGAAATTAAATATTTACCTATATTGTTTTTAAGATTTTTTTTTCTTTCTTTTTTATATATATATTATAAACAGATTATTTTTCTGGTCACACATTTAATCATTTTCCCTTTTAGTCATACTGAACATTACAATTTGTAACAACGTTTGGAGGTCTCTGATGGGTGCACCCAAGATTTTTGTTATAGAAGCATAGGAACAAAAATTACTTCTGCTGTGTACTTTGTAAGTCAGGGAGCACATTTCAGAAGTAACATTCCCGTTTTATGTCTCCTGTAATGTACAATAAAATTCTTTTTAGTTTGTATCTTTGTTTTTCAGTCCTACATGGTGCTGAGCCTCTACCTTATTATACTGCTGCACATGCAATGAGTTGGTGTTTACAATGTTCCCAAGGAGTAGCATACCTTCACAGCATGAAACCAAAAGCACTCATTCACAGGGACCTAAAACCACCAAAGTAGGTTTTCAAGAACTCTGTAAGACACTTAAAGGCGTTTTTCTAATAAGCCTAGAGAAAGAACATTGTGGTCTGTAATAGTAATTCTCAGATGCAATATAAGTTATTTGAATGTTATGTAAATAATCTACTATATTTTACCAGCACTCAGGGGTATGATTTTTATTTTTTTATGAAATTTATATACTGCCCGTCTCACTATCAAGCAACCTTTGATAAACTTGATAATCAGCTGTAATAACTGCAAGAGATCTAATGCTTGTTACTTTATAATATTGTGATTAAAATTAATAACACTGATGCATTAGACTTAGATAACAAGCTGGCAGTCTTTCAGTTGAAATATGAAAGGAGGAATTAGTTACAAAGGAAACACTGTTCAGGTTTATACTTTGGCCTGGATTGCTAAAAACAATGGGCATCTGATCTGTTAAGCAAAGTTACCTTGTTTGTGAAATACATTTTTATTATTATATTTAACACTCGGATAAATCACTTAGACATATTTTTTGTGTCGCTCACCAAATTAAAAGCAGAATAAAATAAAATATGAAATTATAATTTTAAACAGAGTGGGATGGACCTATCAAATGACTCATTGTCGCCAGGTGGGGTGTTCTCACTGAAAGGAGGATATTGCTTTTTTATTGTTTTTATATTGTTTTATTTTTTTATATCTAAGCCAGCCAGAATCACTGAGAATGAATTGGGCAGCATATACATTTTCTTGAATGAATGAATGACTGAATGAATGGTTAAAATTAAATATGGAGAAAAATAGTTGTTCCTGTAAAATCAGTCTTGATCTTGATACATTGCAGTTACTTGTTTTTGCATTCAGTAACAAATGGGTATAATTTAGCTCCATTCAATTTGATTATGTTGCACAATAGAATAAAAATTCCCTTCTCTTATGACACTAAAGCACAAAGTAATTTTTTCAGTGTTGACCTCTGTTTTCCCAAATTCACTTTTCTGACTTTTTTTTTTACAAATTACTAACAAAGATTGTCTATTTATGCCCTTTAAAAAGAAATATATTGTTTTTAATTACAGTAAAAGTCTTACTTTTCACTTTTGTATATTAAATCTACAGACACTGTGCATAAATTGCTTAGAGAATATTTTCTCTATTTCTTAACACTTCTGTTGGGAAAATACATACTGTAATTAAATTCTGTTTGATTTACAGTTTGCTCTTGGTGGCAGGAGGGACTGTTTTAAAAATATGTGATTTTGGTACAGCTTGTGATATTCAGACTCACATGACCAATAATAAGGGCAGTGCTGCTTGGATGGCACCCGAAGTTTTTGAAGGTAACAAAGTAATTTGAAGCTTACTACCATTCTCATATGTATTATGAGCATTAGTAATTTTTGTAGTAATTTTGGTACAGAGATTCATTTGGTGCAGATGAACTTTTCCCTGTTGTCTACAAAGGTATTTCAGAAGCCAGTAGAAAAGACACAGTCAACTGTCTAGTTATGATGTGACTTAAATTGTTGAAAGATTACCATTTAAATTAATGCAGTTTAAGAATCCTAATTTAAAGTATATAATTGGAATAGAATGACTTATATATGAAGTATTGAATCTGTTTCTGTTGTAATGTATACATATATGTAGCCCTATAATCACTGAATGGAAATATTATACTGGCTCAAAACTATTGAATTACAAACTTTCATTAGCACTGAAGTGCCTTTGGCTAAATTCTAAACAGTAAATATATTTTTCCGGTTTGTTTCAAAGAAGTAATATTCTTATTAAGAAAAATTCAATTCTTATACCAGAAAACTAAAAAAAAATACTAGAAAATATCAAATAAGATATTTGAAATCAACATTTTTCAAACTTTTTTTATTAATAAGTTAATTGATGTAAAATTTAAATCAAGTGAAAGTTGTATAAGGGGTATTGCATTCAGTATTACTATAAAACAGGGTTGTAGTGGCAATCAGTCACATATGATCATAAAGTTCCTCTCTTCTTGTACATTGTGAAATTGAAGAAAAATAGAGATGTTTTTTCATAGAACAACGTGTGCATGAATATGTAAGTCACTGGATTCACACCATATGTATTCTGTTGGAAAGCACATGTTTAAATCAACCTGTTTTATAGTATATTGAAGAATCAATTATAAAATTGGTTACAACAGATTAATTTACTTTTTTATTATAATTAAAAGAACACCTATACTCTTGTTAGTTTATTTTTTTTATTAAATGTATAAATGATCATTTCCAGGTAGCAATTACAGTGAAAAATGTGATGTATTCAGCTGGGGTATTATTCTTTGGGAGGTAATTACTCGCAGAAAACCTTTCGATGAGATTGGTGGTCCTGCTTTCCGGATCATGTGGGCAGTTCATAATGGTAAGCTGAAATTTTAAGTGAATTTTAAAATTTTAATTTTAATATTGTGAAATATTTGCGGCTAAATTTTGCCACTGATTTTCTATATAATACTCTAAATGTGCTGATGCAAAAAAGGGCATATAAAATATTTGTTTGCCTCCCCCATCTTCAATGTATAACTTTGGCTAACAGTTGTAGGGCTGCCTTAACATCCTGCCCTAATACCTGAGGAAACTGACAGGTCTCAGTGGTCTTCTGAAGAGCCACTCTAGACATGTTGGTGGCAAATCTGATTGTTCTAAGTTATTTTTTTGCCTCAGTTTCATAGAAAGCAGAGGCTAAAGTTTAATAAGAAAAAAAAATATTGAAATGCAAGCCCATCTTCTTGCCTCTTGTTATTTTATTTTATACTCCATCTTCATGCTTTTGTATATACTGGGGAGAGCTAAATATAAAAAGAGAGACTTTTTAATAAACTGGCTTTTGTTTTGAGTTTGAGGCAAAACAGCCTCATCCAAAATCTTCCATTCGTACATGTCCATGTTGGATCTCCCTTGAGGAGACTAACTGGCTCAGCAAATAATGCTCATGTATAAAAATAGTGCCCTCTTTATTCATTCAAAGATTACAAAAATAGATGGGTTGGTGTTTGTTATAACTACCATGTGTTCTTCCTTTATCACCTTTGCCAATATTAGCCAATAATGGCAGGGATGGAGTCAGTCCCCTACTGCTCTATTGGTTAAACTAGAAACATTTTGAGGGAGAAAACAGCATATTCATAATATTGGCACAGCCAGAGCAGTCTAACTGCCTTCTTTTGAGGATAGGACAGAACTATTTTTCCTCAAGCTATGGAACACAAATTCATCTTGCTTCAAGGTTGAAATACTTCAGTGTTTTGAAATGTAGTGCTTATATCCTACCCCTGATATAATAATATAGCAATATTATAATATAGTCATATTGTTCTTATTTTTGTTCTTCATATATGAGAGTAACAGTTTGAAAAAGAATGCATAACAAGTACACAAGTATATTTCTCCAGTCATTATCAGACTCCTATTTTCATTAATTCTAGTTGGACCAGCAACAAGAATTGTGGTCAAACAGTGACTGAAGGTTAAGCATTGCAAGCACTGCTGGTTTAGAGTAGGTCCAGCATTTGCTCATTTGAATGTGAAGTTCAGTTCAAATTTTGTTTTGGAAACTAGTCTTTTCTTCATTATGAGTAATTCAATAAAGGGTTAAAATATTTTTTTATGTTCAGGATTATGACAAGTTTTAATGTGTAAAGTGGGAAAGGGAAACAGAATAGCCAAATATTTTATTGTCCTAAGTCTTCAAGGATAGGTTAGTTCAGTAAAATTAGAGCCAAATAACTTCTTTGGAGATGCATATAATTCTTTAAAATGTTACTGCTTATAAACACTGCATATTTTTAATAGGTACACGGCCACCACTGATAAAAAATTTACCCAAACCTATTGAGAGCTTAATGACTCGCTGTTGGTCTAAAGATCCTTCACAGAGACCTTCCATGGAGGAAATAGTCAAAATAATGACACACTTGATGCAGGTATAATATTTAAATGTTAAATATTGCTGAAATAGACTGGTTTCTAGAAGAAATGTAAAATAGAAGGTATGAATTTGATAGAGTGAAAACAAGTTTTTGGAAGTGAGTAGAAAGAAGGCAATCTTTCATGGCCTTCTGAGGGACCTAAAATAGTTAACACAAAACAAAACACAATCTAGTGCTTTGTTCCAAAGTCAGACTTGTTTTCTTATTCCTGCCCTTTCTTTCTTTGACATAACTGTAAAAAGGAGTACTCTGAATTACTCTAAAATAATAGTAAAAGAAGAACAGGCAAGCGTTATATGGATTTTGTTTAACGAAGTCAGCGGTTCTCAACCTGTGGGTCGGGACCCCATTTGGGGTTGAACGATCATTTCACGGGGGTTGCCAAACAACGCAGTCCGCCATTTTTTTTCCCTTTTCCTTAGCTGTGCTACTCCCTTTTATTCTATTGGCTTTTGAAAGCCAATAGAATAGACTCTCTTGAATAGAGTCTAATTCTATTGGCTTTCAAAAGCCAATAGGAATTGTCCAGGCTGTCTCTGCCCTGCTGAGCCCGCCAAAAGTCCCATTCTGCAAACGGTGCTGAACCAGTTGAGTAGTCCTCGACTTACGACCGGTTGAGTAGTCCTCGACTTACGACCGGTTGGGGTCGCGGCATTAAAAAGGTTGAGAACCACTGAACTAAGTGTACTTCTGGTGCTGTAATCCAAAAAAGTGTTTAAAAGTGTGGCTCCTTAAAAAGCCAGAAAAATAAAATGATCTTGGTTAGATAGGCAAATTAACCAGAGGTCCCCTTGTTCAAATGAAGCTTTTCATTTGTACAGAAACAGAAATGTCTAATTCACTGTAGCCATACTAGAAGAAGAGTGTATTTTTATTGATAGACAATAAATATCATTTTTTTCAGTGCTGTAGATAAAAGAAAAAATTGCATTTGATTTAAAAACAAAAAGTAATAATATTTTAGCCCTTTTTGTTATTAAGTACCTTTTGGTAATTGCTTATTCTGGTAATTGCTTTCATGTTATAATTATTAAATAATAAATTCATTGATTAAATCACAACTTACAGCATTGTCTTGGAAACAAATTGAGCATATCAGCTTTTAGGTACTTTTCTTAAAACTGGTCCTTGTAATAAGGGAAGTTACAAGATTTTGTTAATATATTCTTCTTTCATTGCAGTATTTTCCAGGAGCTGATGAACCTCTACAGTATCCCTGTCAGTATTCTGATGAAGGCCAAAGCAACTCTGCTACTAGTACAGGTAATCAGGTTATATCAGTGTTTCTCAACCTTGACAATTTTAAGGCATGTGGACTTCAACTCCCAGAATTCCACAGCCAGCATTGCTGGCTGTGGAATTCTGGGAGTTGAAGTCCACATGCCTTAAAATTGTCAAGGTTGAGAAACACTGGGTTATATGTTCCAGATATCAAACTCATACATTTTAATTTTAAGCCAGGAAAGATAACCTTTTACTCGCAAGAAAACACATTATTAGTAGAAGAAGCTACAGGGCTGCAGGGCTGAGATTTATCGTTTATGGGGACATTGAGAATATTGCCAGTTTTTTAAAAGCACATAATCATAATTTAACCAAAATATTTTTAAAAATCATAGGTTCGTTTATGGACATGACCTCCACAAACACCAGTAACAAAAGTGATATCAACATAGAAGCAAATGATTTTCAAGGAACTGCTACAAATGACACCATTAAACGTTTGGAAACAAAACTGGCTCAACAGATGAAAAATTCAGCGAAGCAGGTGGTAAGAATGTAGAAATTTGTACTTGAGATAATTTATTTAGAAGCAAAATGGTATGATAATCCTTTATTTATAAAGTTGTGAGCAGGATGGCACCCTCAAATATCATTTTCCATCCTTAAAATAGACTGTCATAATTTTGGTAACCTCCTATCTACTATTGTTATTTGGCCTTAGCCACCCAAACCTTCTTCCAATTCCCACAAAACACAGAAGGAAATCGTAACTTCACCCATTTCAGAAACATTACAAAAACTTTGCTTTATCCATCGTGATCCTTTTGGCAACAAAAGAACATATTAAAAAAAACCTGCCACCCCTACAAGCAGAAGAAGATTTCCCCAGATATAAATGATATTAAGAATCTTCATGACTTTTTTTAAAGCTTAGAATTAAAAAAAAGACAGTATATATCAGCACAGGTTTCTTGTAATAATATGTAGGATTGCAAAATGTTGAAAGGTCCCTTACAGCTTTTCTCTTCCTATGTTGTTATATTTATAAGGTTTTCATAACATTTTCAGTATTAAAAGTGAAAAAAATATTCTAAATATGCTCTTCTTGTTTATTCCTGAAATCTGTACAATTATTTGTTTTTACAGGGAGAATCGGGCCGTTTGAGTTTACCTCCGTCTCGTGGTAGTAGTGTGGAGAGCTTGTCAGATGTTCGTGGGCGACCACAGTCAACTCATGTTTCAGGAGAAGGCAAGCGAATGAGTGCTGACATGTCAGAAATTGAAGCAAGAATTGCTGCTTCTGCAGGTAAAGGTATTATTTTTAAACTTCCCAAATGTTTTTAGGAGCACCTTTGGCATTTTGAGAGCATATTGTGTTCCTGCGCAATAGCTACAGTCCATGGCTGTTGCCACAAAAACTTGCCACCCCATAATACTCACATCTCTCCAAAACAAAGCAGTCAGACTCAAAGGAGATTAAGTTGTTGCAAAGTTGAAATATGAATTGCAAACCAGATAACTTTTTTTTTTAAGACTACAGTATTCTCCTTTAAATGCCAGTGTCACAGAAGCAAAATGATGAGAGCCAGAGACCAGAAACTTGATGGGGGGAAAAAAACAGAGTTTAAGGCAAAGATTGGAGTAACATTCCAAAATGCCAAATCTCATTTTTGCTCCATCAGAAATAAGCAAAATCAAAATGCTTGAAGAAGGTATATGTTTGAATTATATTATAAAATAACGATGGTACTAGAGTGTTTATGTTCTGTAGTATAATACAGGGGTCCCCAACTTCCGGTCCGCAGCATGCCAGCAAGCGGGCTGCACAAACAAGCAAAACTCCATCCTCGGGATGCAGGCAGTATTCAAAACCATATCCCCTCTGGTCCGTGGGAAAACCTTTCTCTATGGCACCGGTCCCTGTCCTTTTGGGCACTGAATTTTTCTATTTTTTGCGTCAGTAAGATATTTCTATTGAACCAGGCGTCTTCCACATTCTTTCTGTCCCTGAGTAGTAGATTATGGTTTTTGTATAACATTTTTAATTTTGCAAATGGTTGGTCATATTTCACTATTATTTGTCAATTGCCTGATCAAATTTATATGGCTGCCTACATTACAAGAAGTGACTCTAGGCAGTGTACCATTATAAGACAATTTTATCAATTTCTTTCAATTTAAGAGCTATGTATTTCTAATGTGAATTTATTATAACATAAACATGCCTTAATAAGATGGCTATAATGTTAATAAGGCTCAAAATTACAGGCTATCATATCAATAACAAAAATCAAAATTAGTTTATAATAATAGTCTTATCAATCTGTGTAGTGTATTTTAAATGATAGACAATGATTGACATTCAAAAACTATTAATGTGCCCTGAATAAGCAATCATTTCTTTTTATGAAGTAATTTTTCTGTTGTTTATGTCTAATGAACTATTGGCCAAACTTTCTAGAGGTTAATTAAATGCCTATCACTGAGATTTAGTCTTTTTTTTTTTATTCTAAGCGTAACAGTAGTGGGTAAATACGTAGAATGTCTTCATACTTCATTCCTGAGCAATCAACCAGTGATCCTTGTATCAGGTGCATCTCTTAATCAAATCCTGTTTGTAATTGATTAAATTGGGCAAAATTAAATGATCCAACCTTCTCAAGGCAGCCTGCTGAATGGGAAGGAGAAAATAGAATATTTTAAAGAATGAGAAAACAAGTGGGTTTCAGAGAAGTGAAAATTAAAGAAAACCCAATATATATATATATATATTTCTAGCCCTACCCCTTCATATCAGAAGTCCAACTGCATTGCACATTTTGTGGCTCCCAGACAATTGTTAAATATCTCAACTATCGTTTACCTTTGTTGTAAAGTATATAAAAGATGTGACTACTCACTAAGAAAAATATAGCAAATATATATATATACTGGAACTGTTTCTGATTTCTTATTCATTTTGACACCAACCTCTGACATTGGTGGTATATAGATAACAAAGATGAAAAGCAGTATTTTAGTGTTAAGATTGGACAGTTTTGGCAACATAAACAAGTAACATAATTACGGTAATAGGAGAAATTTCCAGATAAAGGATTTATATTCATATAAATCCGTAAGGAAACAAGTTTCTTGAATACTGCTTATCTAATAAAAAACATGCTCAGATTTGCCAAATAAATAAAAAAAATGTAGCTGGAATATTTTAAGAATAAATTATATTATATTAAAAGACCAGTGGAAGAAGCAAATCTCACTTGTGTGCTATTTTACAAATTGCTGAGAGTAAAGCAATTCACCTTATATCAGTGGTGGCGAACCTATGGCACGCATGTCAGAGCCTGCACTCAGAGCCCTCTCTGTGGGCACACACACCACCACTACTAGCAGCTCGCTCAGGCCCATTAGGCCACCGCCGCCCGGAGCAACAGCCCTGCCCAGCACAAAACATGCAAAACAGTCGGATAGCAAGCTCGAGTAGAGGTGTAAGAGCATCAAGGAGGCCATGCCTACCCAGTCTGCTGTGACTACCCTGGCCATGCCCACCCAGTGGGCCACACTCAGAGGGCTCCCTGAGGGAACCACAATGCTGATGTGGCCCTGGCACTTTGCAATAAATAAGTGGGTTTTGGATTGCGGTTTGGAAACTCGGTCTCTAAAAAGTTCACCATCACTGCCTTATATCTTTAACTGAAGGGTCCAGAATCTTTATTCAGATCCATTCCACCAGCCCAGAAAAAAGTGTTCTTAGTAGGTCATGTTAGGACTCCCTTAGGAGATGTTTTATCAGTTGCCATATTGATAGCATTTGCCTAATCTAGAACAGGTTCTAATTTAATTTTTAAACATCACCTCTTCTGTATATCTTTTTATGTTACCTAGTATCATCAACAGCTGTATTTAATTCCAGAGTTTACTTCTAGCAGTTATATCTACTCTTTCCTAAATCTATTAATTATGTGATACTATCCTTAATGCTATGGCAATGGCTGATTATGCCTCTTTCACAAGAGAAACAAATTAGATTACATTTAAAATGCCAAAAATATTGAATGTAATCATTTTCAAAATTTTTCAAAAATTTATAGTCAAAATATTTGAACCACTGTATGTAGCTTACATTTTGTTTTTTTAAAGAAGTTGAGTTACATTAGTTAACTACATTTATTTTGCTTCCCAAACTGTGAAAAGCTATCTCTATGCATATAATATACATTTACAGGGCAGTCAGTAAAAAATTCTAGTCGCTCATTGCTAGGGTTTGTTGTTTCCTTGTTACTCTTTCTACTCTGTTCATTTAAATTTTGTGTCTCTAACTATAACTAATAATGTATTTTGTTATATTGTTGATCCTAGTTATGAATGTTGCTCTTAACTAATGCTTTACTGTTTTAAGCATGAATGGAAAGCTATGCAGTTCAGTCTGCATGTCCTTTGCTTGCATGAGTTTAACCAAATTAAATTTATAAAAGAGCAATTCTAGTCTGAATGATTTGTGTTACCATTATAGTCGTTTGCATGTGTATTGTATGTGTATATATGTTTTTTCAGCCTTTTCCAAACCTAAACGAGGCCATCGTAAAACTGCTTCATTTGGCAACATTCTGGATGTCCCAGAGATCATCAAACCAGGTATTGCATGCCAGCTGTGTGACTCTATTGACACAAATGCTGGAGTAATGACTAAACTTTTAAATACTTTTTGCTCCTGTTGGGTGATTGATTACTCACTGGTCAAAAATAATTATCTTTCATAATTATGAACAAATATGTAGCAAGATTGGGGGGGAGGGTTTCAATGTAAAAAGATTTGATCTTTTTCCTCTCTGATAGTGAGAGTGTGATCAGGCTGGAGCTCCAGAGAACTTTGAAGGAAAAGGATTATTTAGAGTGCCTTGGGTTTCATATGAAGTGTACACAGAGACATTGAACAGGCTTGTCAGTGGCCTCTGATAGAACTGGGAAAGGACATTGCCACCGTCTTGGTTTCTTTTGATCTCTTAATTTTCAATAACATTAGTCATGGTATCTTTCTGAACTTCCTGTGGGACTATATAGTGATTTGTGGTTTGTTTTTTGTGGGCAATTCCAGTTGGGGTTGGAAAGGATGCAGAATTGAACCTGAGGTTCCTTATTTGTGGAGTCTCAGATTTCAATGCACTTCATTCTTCTGTTTAACATGAGATCATAGGGTAAGGTCATCTGTCATTTTTGGATTAGGTATCTATATCCTGATGACATCCGATTGTACATCTTGACCCTGGCTATCCACGTGATAAAAATCAATCTCTGTCCTACTATCTGGAAGCTATGAAGATCTAGATTTGCAAGAATAGACTCAGGTTCAATCCAGCAAGACCACATAAATTTAACTATTAGTGCCCCTAATCCAGTGGTTCTCAACCTTTTTAATGCCGCGACCCCCCAACCGGTCATAAGTCGAGGACTACTCAACTGGTGCAGCATCGTTTGCAGAATGGGACTTTGGGCGGGCTCAGCAGGGCAGAGACAGCCTGGACAATTCCTATTGGCTTTCAAAAGCCAATAGAATAAAAGGAGTAGCACAGCTAAGGAAAAGGGGAAAAAATGGCGGTCTGCGTTGTTTGGCGACCCCCATGAAATGGTCATTCGATCCCAAATGGGGTCCCGACCCACAGGTTGAAAACCACTGCCCTAATCCCAGATGTTTTCCATCTTTTGTCCTGAGTAGTAGATTATGGTTTTTGTCCAGTCCCCATTTGGGACTGGGGCACAATCTAAGAGTTTTCTTGGACATTCTATTCCTGTTTGAAAAGCAAACTCCCTAAAAACCTGGCTTTTTTTCCCAGCCATTGGATTAAGGTGGATGGTGAGAATCTTACAGGACTCTATAGTCTGAATGTTTCCTAGACATATATTGTTATTTTTATTTGTTTCAGTATTACACTGTTTTTAATGTACACCATCCAGAGTCTTTATGGAGTTGAGCAGTCATATAAATTTGACTGAAAGACAAACATAATAAGTACAGTACATTGGTAGATTAGTAGGTAAGTAGGTAGATAGGTAGGTGGTTATTTGGGTGGGTGGGTGGGTGGAGATAAATAGGCAGGCAGATGACAGACAGATAGTTTTTAGGTATAGCAGGAGTGCAATTGCTAAATATTATAATAATCTGGTATAGTCCTGGTAATTTAGGCATACATAAATTTAAATGAGCATAAAAAGTTTATACAAAGAACTTTTAATACAAAGGACCATTGTTAGAATTGAATAGAAGTAATCTTCAGAAGTAAATACATTAAATATTTCACAATTGGAAGCTATGTTATTATAATTAATAATTATTAATAAACTAAAGTAAATATATGATGTGCAGCAAATAAATTACAAAATGTATATATAAATGGTTTACATGTCTACATCTGCAAATACTTAAATAGGCCAAGATACAAAATCACCACCACCTCTGGTCTGCATCATAATACTCTGGCGAGTAGTTTGTAACTTCTAAATGAAATGTTTCAACAATAAATAAACCCTTTCATAAATTTTTAGGGAAGTATCTTACCATCTCAGGTAAACAAACATATACACACTTATGTAGTATGTATATATATATATATACAGGTAATTCCCATCTTAACATTCATTTGTTTAGCAACTATTATGACAGCATTGAACTGATAGTTACAACCAGTTCTCAGAGTTCCACCCAGCAAACTGTGATCATGATTTGGGGGCTTGGCAACCAGTTCATACTTAAGACCAGTTGCAGCCCTGACAATCACATGATCACCATTTGCAACTTTCCTTGCTGGCTTCCTCAGAAAGTCAATGTCCTACTTTCACACCTTACCTAGCCCTCACCATGCTTTCCACACATCTGACTTGTGCCTGTTGCATAATTCCTGGTACCCTCATGCATCTGACTCACACTACATCTCTCATGCATTCTCTCCTACACCCCTCACACACTCTTCCAAATCTCACGCAACTCCTTGGACCTTGTGCACCCTCCCTGAGCCTACCACAAACTCTCTCCCTCCCTTTTCCTCTCCCTCTTCCCTCCCCCCCCCCCAGCAATGCTATCTGGGACTTGCAACTTTGATCCAGCTTCCCCATCAAAATTAGTTGTCGGAAGCTGGCAGGAAGTCGATCCACCTAACAATCATGGGATTTGCTTAATGATGACAATTGGGACTGCAGGGAGTGCCATTATGATTTATGATTTTATCGCTTAGCAGCAGAATGTCATAATTGCCATCATAAGTCATGGATTACTTATAGATACTAACATTGATGGGTTTTTCCTAGCAGGTTCAATTGTTCAGTATTTTATATACATGACCCCTAACCAGAAGCAATTTTGGGGGGGGGGGACTCCAGGAACCATTTCTAAAAGTATAAGAATCGTTTTAGAAAAGAGGCTCCAAAATTCTGATGAGTTTTATTTATTAAATTTATATGCTACCCATCTGAATATGTCAGCCTTGAAACATTAATTCTGTATATTTCCCTATTCTTACCCCTGTATAGTACAATCAGATGGACTTGAAATATTTATTTTTAATCATCTTGGATGCATTAATACCTTTGTTTTAAGTTCAATAGGTAAACATTAAAATAAATAAAATCAGTTTCAAAGTTAGATCAATATGTGTTTGAAAGTTTATAGTATACAAAGTTGTGCTTTCAAAGTCAGATTCCTCAACTATTACTATTACCATTGATTCAGGAGCAACAAGTATTTACTGTATAGATATTCTGTTTGTTTGGCTGTGCTTGAGCTTTTTGCCAAAAGCCTGTAATAGTTAACAGCAATGAAAATGCTTTTAGCCTAACCACCTGCTTCAACTCATTATGTAGGCTTGAATTTCTCCTTTAAAGCAGTTCAGCTGCACCTAACACAACTTTCCTGAATGAAAATATATGCTTTCATTTATAAATTCTATTTTAATCTATTATTAATATTTATTATTTATGTGAGCACGATAAGTTTTTCTGCAATCCTTACCTTAGTTTCTCTGAATTCAAAAATGTTACTAATCCAAACTCAGTTTGAATATTCCAGCTACTTTTTACAAATTTATTTCAGCTGAGCTATTTCTAGAATGAGTAATTGTGGGCATCATTATTATATTAGTAATGGACCAATGGAGGGTTTTCCTGAATTGCTAGGTTCTGTAAATCTGTTAATGAACTACTGATTAGTTACCTTGAGGCGTGCTGAATTGCTAGGACCGCAGAGCATTTGCATAGCTCTGCTAATGATCTACTGCTGTAATAAAAGATTGTTTTATGCATCAAAAAATATAAATTTGGGAGAGGGTGTTGATTTAGTTGCCTGAAAATGTGAGTACATGTCTTTCTTTATACTTCTTGATACTTTCCAGAAGTTCAAAAACTCTGAACCTATATGCAAATTTCCCCACATAGTCAATAATATGTATTGCTTTAGCCTTTTGGTGAAAAAGTAACACAGTTTTAATCAATCAAGAAATCACAGTTGAAAGCATAATCCTAATTTAAAATCTCATACAAGTTGCAAAGCCCTGAGCTTTTGTACTTATTTTGTGTATTTTGTTCTGTCAAAAATCTTTTGCGGAAAAATGTGTAAAAAGCTGCTCATACTCACAACTAGGGGACAGAAAAAAAAAACCTTCTCTCCAAATTTTCTTTAGTGTTCTCAAAAATGATTTGAGGGCATCTGACTCAACATGGCACCTTAAATACTTTGGAGCCTGCATTTGAAAAAATAGTTTGATTAAATCTCCTCCGATTCATACTTTCAAAGCTCTGCACAGCCTTACTCTATAACAGGGAAAATTCACTGATTAAACCGATTGCTTATAAGAGTAAGAGATACCCCATTCCATCAATATTTCACTTTTCATTTTTCCACCCATCTTGTCCTTCTGGTAGCTCTTCAGTGCCTCATCCTGGAAAGGAACACAGTGACCCACGAAGTTAAAACACTGGGCTGACAATCAACAGCCTCATGCTCAAGACCCGTTGCTGCCCTGGGTCAGGGTGAGCTCCTGTCACACGGTCCAGCTCCTGCCAACTCAGCAGTTCAAAAGTGGGCAACCACAAGTAGATAAATGGATACCACTTTGGTGGGCAATTTTGTGGGGATGTGAAAGGAGCCCCCAACTGGTCATCCCCCTGGGCAACAGTCATCCCCCTGGGCCAGGCATGTCAAACTCGTGATGTCATGCGACGTATCGCAACTTTTTCCCCATTGCCGGCAATGGGGTGGGCACAATTTTAGCGGGATGCATCCTGGCCCATAGGCTGCCAGTTTGATATGCTTGCCCTGGGCAAATCCTTTTGCCATAGAAGCTCTTTAGTGTTTCCAACACGGAAGTATTCATATTAGTATTACCCTATCCTGGAAATCAGAACTCCCTTCTGATTGGTGTTTGGGTACAAAATTACCTGATCTGAGAGTATTCCCATCTTGAATTATTGTTTTATATAAAGAGGAACCCTTGTGCAAAACTTCATTTTGATCTGAGAGGATTTTCTAGAGGACAGAGAGATGTGAGGATAACAAAGGAAAAAACATATTTTTCCACTCTTGCATCTATTGGACACATTCCAAAATATTAAGCAACATGCTGTTTATTTAAAAAGAAAGAGATTCAATTGCTTATGGTATTCAAGCTTCTATTCCCTTCATCTCATTTATTTTTTATTCAAATTAAAAAATAGCTACACAAAATAGATGAGTTTAAAAAGTAAGCTATTAATTTTAAGATGTAAAATGTTTTTACATATTTTAAAAGTTAAATAGAATATTTTAAAAATATTTTTCAGTTAAGTAAAAGGAGGTTGGACATTGTAAAATGCTGTAGGAGGGACACTGAGCAATTATGCAAATGATAGCCATAATTTAATTCCTTGCTGGAAGAGTTTCCACTGGCCTGTTTATGTAACACAGTCTTCAAAGACTAAGTTTCTAGAGTGTTATGTCAGCTGTTAATTGCAACTTTGGGATATTTTCTTTTTGGACAGCTGATATCACATCCCAAGAACAAAGACCATTATAATACTAAAAGGCAAAAAAGAAAAAAAAATCTACACACCAAGAAAGTTTTCTTTGCCTTGTCAGTCATAATATTTATTTTTTGGATCTGTTGACCATTTTTTAATACATTTGATGCTATTTAGAGCTGCAATTAAAGCAAGCTTTTTAAAACTTCAGTGCAGATTTGAAGAGCTATTTCTTTCTACATTGAATCCAATCAGTGCAATGGATTCTTTATCGAACAAGAAATCTAGGAGCTCCACGAGTTGAACAGAAATCAAATTGGCATTCCCCAAAACCTTTTTTGAAGCTGCACTTTTTCATTGATTAAGCAAAGAAACTATATAACTGGCAACCTTGCATGAGAAATCCCCATAACGTAATCCCCTTGAAATAGATGTCATCGTCAGTGCTAAAGCCACTCCCACACTTGCCCATCCAACATTAAGTCTGTTAATGCACAACTAACAGAAGATGGTGAAGAAAAGTGCAGACGCTATTCATGGAGGATTTATTGCATTAGGATATGCTTTCTGTTGACAAGCTGGGTAGGTGGGTGTGGCAGCTGTCTCTGCTCTCCCTTCTCCTTCCTATATACAAACAGACTCTTTTATCTCCTTGCTGGATTTGTACACACTCTTTGCAACATTCTCACTTGGTGTAAATTCAGTGGTTTCTTTTTCTTTGTGATCCTAGCAGGTAATGGACAGCAGAGGCGCAGATCCATTCAAGATCTTAGTGTAGCTGGAACCGATTCCAACCAGGTAAATACACAGTGTGGACGATTCATTTAAAATTGCCTGAATTTTATAAATTTAAGAATTGTATGTCACCTGTCAAATTGAATATCTAAAAATTGGAATATATAAATATATCTAAGGAGAACTAGGATTGTTAATATATAATGTAAATTTTGAAAGCTTTCCTTTACAGGAAGTCCATTTAAATTAACTATGTATGTATGTATGTATGTATGTATGTATGTAAGCATTTTTCTTTCAGCTTGGCCTTTACCAAATTTATAATTCTGTTAATAATACACTGAAAGATATACAAGAGTTAGTTCTAAGTAAATGACATTTAAAAGACTACATTATTTACACATTGGAATGCCAGATATTATGGTTATCAAACTGTTGTGGACTATGTATTTCTTGGTTTCAGTAAAGTTTTGATCTTCCTCTCTTTGAAATATATGCATATGTGTTCAGTGAGGCTTGTGTCAAATAAGGATGCTTAGAACTACATCTTTGATTAGTTTAACAGTTGTTAAACTGTTTCTTTACTGCTAAATACCAAGCATTGGTGTATATTGAAAAGGTTACTAGGACTTTGTGGTTAAGGGAAATAAGAAATAAATTAAAACGTTACAAAATGATATTTCTTACATGAATGTGTGTCTCATACAGAGTATCTCATTTGTATTAGTTCATGATTGAAAATGAAAGCATTTTAAAAACTGTATTATATAGTTAGAAAAAGTATCAAAATGGGGTGGGCGTGGTTTCAGCATGACGCATCCAGCCCAGGGGCCGGCAGTTTGACACCCCTGTAATAGAAGGACGCTAAAATGTCTGCATTGGATCACAGTTTTGTTTTATTTTTAGATGAGGTAATGATAACAAAATCTCTGTGAGAGTAATTAATCTACAGAAGAACTTTGTATTTACAGTATTGTCGTTCATTTGCGTAAATAGTAAAGAGTTTGTTTACTTTTAATTATTGCTACAGGGAAGCAGAAACAGCAGTAGATCATCCAGTCCTAGTGTGAGAATGATCACTACCTCGGGACCAACCTCGGAAAAGCCTGCTCGTAATCTACCATGGACCCCTGATGATTCTGCGGGTAAAACAATTCCTGACCTTTTAGTTGTTTATCATTTAATGCTTTAAGGAGTGTTGGTAATTAACACGGTAATTTATATTAACCAGGTTTGGAAATTACAATTTTAGATGGTAACTATAAAGTTGTTGATAAACGTTGCTGAGCATCTCTCATGGGATAAATGAGGATAGTGCTACAGCGGCACCATCTTTGTTTGGCTCTTGTATGCTTCACACCCCTGTAAATAGAGTGCAAAAAAGTAATGACAAGTGCCATCATATACTATTTAAGAGTTTCATTGCTGCTCATAATCATGAAAGGTGATAAGGCAGATGCTATCAGGGGACTGACCTGCCTGCTGGTCTGCCCTTTTTCAAATGGTGCTGGATAATGAAAGGACATTTTAAGCAAACCTGCAAAGTTATCTCCCAAATTTTGAAGTTAGGTGTTTACTTTTTGTTACAAAATATATTTCAGTATACTTGGTAAACTACAGTGCCTTCAGAAAGTATTCAGACCCTCTTCACTTTTGTCAATTTTGTTATGCTGCAGCCTGATTCTACAAGTGTTGTTGCAAAGGGTGTGAATACTTATGCCTATGTGATATTTCAGTTTTTTATTTTAAATAAATTTACAGACATTTCTAAAATTCTGTTTTCACTTTGTCATTATGGGATACTGAGTGTAGATTAATGAGAAAAAAATGAATTTCAACAACTGTAGAATCAGGCTGCAGCGTAACAAAATTGACAAAACCGAAGGGGGTCTGAATACTTTCTGAATGCATTGTATTTTATTATAAAATAAACAAAGACATTGATAGATGAATTAGGATAATTGTATGTGTTTTCATGTAAGGCGTACTAGAAAGCAATGCTCATGAATTTTTCTCCATTGACAGGTATGAAATCTAGTATGAAAAGAAATAGAATCCTGACAAATGTACAGGTTGATAGGCAAGCATTCTTAATTTTAGATTTGCCCTTTTATTCTCCCCATAAATATCTTTAGGATAAATGCTTGTTAAACAGCTTTGAGAAAATACTACCAGATTCAGTTGCTGAAAACATCTGATGTTCTTATGAAAATTTCAGATATGGCCTTGCTTTTGACTCTTTCCTAAAGAAACTTGCATTACTTAGCAACATGTACAGCCCTGCCATTGAAAAAAATATTTTTTTTGTTCTTAAAAAAATTGTGTTCACAACATAAAATCCATAAAGTGTATGTTGCATGTTAAAATATACTTTGACCTAGAAGAACAAACTCATTTGAATATATGTATATTAGAATGGAATTAATGTATTATGCCTATTACCAAGATGCATGTTCTTACTGTGTATGTTTAAAATAAAATATACCTTATGTGAGGTGCAGATAAAAATGAAAACCACTCTTCAATATCTTATATTTTCCCTTTATCTATCTTCTTCAGTTACCATTCTAGCTCTTTATTTTTCTACCATAGCAAATCCTTCATGGTAACTAGATCTATATTATGCATCTAGTGAAATATCATTGGTGTAACAAAAAATAACCTAATGTACTAACTTAGTACATTCGTCATTGCAGCACTTCAGTCAGCTATCATACTGTTTTACATGATTATAGTAGTTTAGTTGCTAATTAGCACAAGTACTTACGGTAGATCTGTGAATGTACCATTACACAATATGAGGACAAGTAGATGTGCCTAGCATGTCTTTGAACACTACAATTCAGAATATCTGTATTTTTCCAACAGATACCAATGGGTCTGATAACTCCATCCCAATGGCATATCTTACATTAGATCATCAGTTGCAGGTAAATTACTGTGTTATTTCATTGCCAGATTTCGTTGGATATTTATATTAATTTATATGTGTAATACAATCCTGATTTGAGGTCATCATATTACATCACAAAAAAATAATGGAGTGCATAATTTTAATTAGTTTGCTTGGCATAGAAGCTAACTATTGACAATGTGATTCCTGTGTTAAGTCAGAATTAGTGACCTGATACAATGAATTTTTAATTTAACACGTCCCAAGATCAGGTTGTATATGCCAACATTGCCACAATGCATCTCACAGTCTGAACTCAATACTCAACACAGTTCCCTGGCATTTGTATGGTGCTGCATCCCAGGGAAAGAACAGGAAACCTGCAATGAGAGCTGTTCATCTAAAATGCATTTCTTCAAGAGTGACAAGTTCAAAAGGAAAGACTTTGTCTAGCTTTGTTTCTATGTGGAAGCTACTTTGGGACTTTTTGCTAAAAGCCAAATGAAATACTATATTAATTTTGAGAGTTGACAATTAGAACTGCTTATGATTGTAAGAAATACTTTGTAATATTGAATTTCTATATTTGTAACTATTGAAAAAGTTGGAAGTTGTTATTTTTCTATTTTTCTCTTTTCATTATTCATTTGCAACTTCGCATCCCCTATTTTCTCCTTTTTAATTCTTTTTTTTCTTGTTTTTTATATTTTTTATATTTTATCTTTTGCAGAAAGGTTCAGACAGCAGCATGCTTGTCTACCATTATATTTTGTATAGATCATCTGATATTCTTTGCCTGGATCTTTCATTAATTAATATCTTTATTTTGCTTGCTGTTTTCTCAATAAGATATATTATGGACAAAGTTTAATTCTCATGCTTCCGAGAATTAGAATAATTTATTAAAAACATATTTGCATGTTTTTACATGTTTCTATAACAGCTGATTCGGTTTTAACCTGTATGATTTTATTTTCAGCCTCTAGCACCATGTCCAAACTCAAAAGAATCTATGGCTGTGTTTGAACAGCACTGTAAAATGGCCCAAGAATACATGAAAGTTCAAACAGAAATTGCCTTATTGCTGCAAAGAAAGTAAGTTTTAAAATATATTCAATCATGTAGGTAATTTGTTCATAAATTTGATGTAGTACAATTACTATAACATTTTCATTTCATAGTAAGATGGACTGTGTCTGAAGGTGCCAGGTTCAGGAAGGCTAGTCTATCTCATGTGTGAGATACTGTCTCCAGACTCATAATGAATCCTTGGTGTCCTAAATAGGAAATTCTTTTTACTATTTTACTATTTTCATAACATTTTCCTCAGTTCTCTTTATTCTCTTTCAACCATCAATCTTATATTATATTAATGTATGCCTGATAGTAGCAGAAATACTTTTGACTCTTAGTGAAGAAAGAGTTCAGCATTCAGACTGTTTGCTAGTATTTCCTGTTTTATAATAATAATAATATAATTGGAAGGGACCTTGGAAGTCATCTAGTCCAACCCCCTGCTCAGGCAGGAAACCCTATATCATTTCAGACAAATGGCTATCCAGTCTCTTCTTAAAAACTTCCAGTGTTGGAGCATTCACAGCTTCTGGAGGCAGGTTGTTCCACTGATAAATTGTTCTAACTGTCAGGAAGTTTCTCCTTAGTTCTAGGTTGCTTCTCTCCTTGATTATTTTCCATCCGTTGTTTCTTGTCCTACCTTCAGGCGCTTTGGAGAATAGCTTGACTCCCTCTTCTTTGTGGCAGCCCTTGAGATATTGGAACACTGCCATCATGTCCCCCCTTCTCCTTCTCTTCATTAAACTTATATAAGTAGGTTTTCATAAGTAGGTCCCCAAAAATACATGGCCTAAGAGTGAACTGTGTACAAGGTACCTTGGAGTCCTACAGAAAAATGAAATAATTCAGTGCAGATCTACTAGAAATACTTAGTATTCTAAAATAGAGACTTAAAATATTTTGAAAGTTTAGATCGTTTATTAAATGAGGGGACACTCATAAGGAGTCTTGCTTCTGCTATTTAAACAACTATTCGTCTCACCATAGAATATAAGCTATTTTAGGAATGGTGTAAAAATGACAAAACCCGAATGTGCACCAAAATAATTCTGCGTCGTTAGTTAGGTGTCGTTTTTAGCAGTTTTGTGAAGCTATAGGAAAGTGTTGAAGGTTGTTAGGGACACAAATTGCTCACTGATATAATAGGAAAAATATTTTCTGTTTTATGTTCAGTGCAATGTAAGTATTTCATGTCATTACATAAAATGAATCTCTCCATTTACCTCAAGATAATGTTACTCACAATAATACTTTGATTGTGTTATGATTTCCCATGTTTCTGTGTCATACATAATTTCAATGAGGCAGTTATTACTTTATCCTGTCTTTCTTCACACCATGGGTTCAGACAGGAGGAAGGATATACGCATACATTCATACAGACAAACACAAAGAGATACAAGATACAAGCCTCCTCTCCCCAAATTAAACATATGTAAAACTACATATTAAAAGAAGATGCTGGGACATTGCAACATGGATGGGTATCTTTAGATACGCCAAAACAATAATTGTCACAGTTTCTATTTTTCAACAGACTTCTGCTGTTAAAATAAGTATTCCTTTTCCACTTTTATTGTCAGATATTTTGCATTATGCATAGATTACTGGATACATAGATTACATGCACACAGAAAAAAATATGTGAATATGTTATGTTGCATAGCAGTCTGTTGTATTCCAGTTACTCTTGATTACAGTTCCTATAGTCCTTGTCATTGGCTGTGCTGGCTAAAAATAACAGATATTAAAAATTTAGAAGGCTTTCATATACATAAATATGTAGGCAAAAAGAGGTATTGTCACCTAAATGGGTCTGTGATCCAGCCTGTATATCACGCATCTAGTGGATTTTTTTTTCTGGCACTCTAATAATGAATCTACTTATTGCATTTAGCTACCAATGAATTTGCCTTTGAATATTTGTTAATATTGTGAATTAATTAAGTAACCTTCTTATTTAATGTAGGCAAGAACTAATAGCAGAACTGGACCAGGATGAAAAAGACCAGCAAAATACATCACGTCTAGTACAAGAGCATAAAAAGCTTTTAGATGAAAATAAAAGTCTCTCCACCTACTACCAGCAATGCAAAAAACAGTTGGAGGTCATCCGAAATCAACAACAGAAACGTCAAGGGACATCATGATTCATGGGACCCCGGATTGACAGTGAAGCACAGGAACTTCTTCTTTTTTTTAAATTATCCCATAATATGACAACTTCTTTATTGGTGTGTGCTGAATGTGTAGATATACCTGCTGCTCTTCCAAAACCAATGCAGTATGGTTTTCTTTGGGTGAACATTGAATTGTTTGAGAAAGTTAAGAGCGGCTACATGAATAATCAACAGCACTAACCATGAAGCAAAATATAATGAACTCTGGCTGTTTGCATGCCCCTTGTGTGATGGCTATCCTACCAAAACTGATTAAGTGGCTGCTATATTGTAAGATCTTTAGGTTTTCATGCAATAGGAGCAGTATAGAATTTTTCTATTTTTAAAATGTTTTTGTTCTTCTTTCCTTTTGAACTGTTTGCCAAATCAGTCATTTTCCAGGACTCCTGATTACATACATTAAGTTCAAGAGATAATGCCGGTGAAACAATGCATTATTCTTTTAATTGTGTTGTTCTTCATGTATTTGGCCCCTCTACATCGAAGGGATTTCTTAGGCATATCTTTTAACTATTCTGATGCAGTGGGAGAGACATCAAGAGGTAGTCACCTTCAGGCCCTCCTGATCCTTTTATATGATCCCTTCGTTGATTTATCATCGTGAGCAACCTTCCAGACCTCTAGTTAGCTGTTGAATAGTAGTTTCATCATCTTGTGCTTTAGAGATCAAGTGAATTTGCTTGCAAAATACAAGCATTTCTGTTCCATCTTTTGGAAGCAATAATTAGAACTTGGTTGAAAAAATAACTTGTGTTAACAACATACATCCTCATTTTAGTAAGTTCTCCCCTTTACCTTCTTTTTTGTTTGTTTTATAACAAGGCGCACAACAAAATGATGGTTTCATATATGACTCTGCCCCAAGTTTCAAAAATACTGTGGAAAATTATCATATGAGTTTTGCAAATCAAGTCTTTGAAACAAGTCTAATTAAAAAACCAAATTTATCAAATAATTAAAAATATACCTATCAATCTGTACTTAGAATTGTTTGATAGAACTACATTACATTTCATCTTTAGATACCAGGGGTAAGCAATTTCTAGTAGCCAGAGATGCCACTTTTCCTTGTTTAAATATTTTTTTTTTCATCCTGTGAGGGCTGGAAGGAATATGGCAATCATATCACAAGCAGAAGTGACATTTTTGGCCTGGAATATTTTTGGGGTGAGGGGGAAGGAATATTAAATGGAAATTGTGTTAGGTCTAATGAAACCTTAAGTATACTTTTGCTTGTGTTTCATGCCCACCAAATCTTATAACTAAAAGTCTGGGCTGGGCTTGTCTCTGGTGGAAGTCATAAACTGAAATGTTTACATTGAAAGGTAGCGATGAATAGTGGAGCTATATATTTTTTGTCCTATATGCCTGTTCCTTGCAAGTAAGTTCTGCATTCAACACAGGCTTTTCTCATGAAGAAAATATGTGGTTGTAGCCTCAACGTGGCAATACGTTTCTTAAGCATTTGGAACAACTTTGGGTATTGAATGACTTGAAACTTTACAGCAGTGATTGCTATTGTTAAACTCCCCAGGAGCTCTTTTAAAATCTTGGTGTTCACTTCAGGTTTGCTTCATAGAACACTTTATAGAACATTCTGAAACCATTTGATCTCTGTTAGCAATTTTCTCAAAGCATGAAAAAAACATAATATATTTCAAAGCCACACGGTGACCCCCCCAGTACTATTTTAATGTAACTTCGGCTTCACAAAACTGAATGCATAACTGGTATGCATAGAGTTAGAATGTGGCATTCTCTTGTCTTCTCAGCATCACATATTGCTATATTTACTAGAGCCCTGGTGGTGCAGTGGTTAGAATGCAGTATTACAGGCAAATTCTGTCCACAGCCTGGAGTTCCATCCTGAAACTCAAGATTGACTCAGCATTCCATCCCTTCCAAGGTTGGTAAAATGAGGACTCAAAGATTGTTGGGGGCAATATGATGACATTGTAAACTGCCCAGAGATGCTGTTAAGCACTATGGAGTGGTATATAAGTCTAAGTACTATTGTTATTACTAGGCCTTTTTCCCCCAGTAAGAGTTTGTGCATATAGAATTGAAGCCTTGCTATCTGGCCATGTCTGAACTCAGTAGAACTGACAGATGAGTAGATACTTGTTAGAATTGCAATATTTTCTCCCCTCTTGTGTGTTTTAAATTGATAGATTGCTGACAAACATCAGAGTCTGTGCTCTGAAAACAGTCTTTAAAATAAATTTATTCTTGGCAAATTATAAGAGCTAAAACCAACATTATTTTACATAAATAAAGGACAGACATAATTCCTGAAACCCACATTAGCTGATTTGATTTGGTAGCTGAAATAGATATTGGTATCAATTTAAGGGTATGCATATTTATAGTCACTGGCAAGGAGAAAATAAGAATAGGAGTAGCAGAAGTTATCTAAAGCACTGCTGTTTACTGCATGCATCCCTCAGGTTAGCCAAGTGAATGCAGTTGTTATGCTCTACTTTTCCAAAGAGAAAACAACATTAAAGTCCAACCTGTTACTTCATAGGCTACAATTACAAGTGAAGATCTGGAATAATCTTGTCTACTGTGTGCTACGTATTAGACAATATACAGCTATATTGAAAGGAGGAAAATTAAGAGTCCACAGTTTTGTGGTCCACAATGAATGAATCTGCACCATTGGTGCGAACTTACATTCTAGATTTTTAGAAACTGCTGTGTGCTGGTAGAACTGAATTGGGAGTCTAGAACAGTGGTTCTCAACCTGTGGGTTGGGACCCCATTTGAGGTCGAACGACCATTTCACGGGGATTGCCAAACAACGCAGTCCGCCATTTTTTCCCTTTTCCTTAGCTGTGCTACTCCTTTTTATTCTATTGGCTTTTGAAAGCCAATTCTATTGGCTTTCAAAAGCCAAAAGGAATTGTCCAGGCTGTCTCTGCCCTGCTGAGCCCGCCAAAAGTCCCATTCTGCAAACGGTGCTGCAAGTTGTCTGCAGTGAAGGCGAGCTGTCTGGAAGTTTCCACCCCTCCCTGCTGAGCAGCTTCTAAAAATGTAAGTAAAAGAGGGCCAGGGGTAGGAAGTGGGAGGCCGGCGGGCGCAGGGAGGGTTGCTGGTGCACGTGGGGCCCGGCGGGTGCCTTACTTCCCTTGGGCTGGGCCAGCTGGTGGCCCAGCCGGTGGTCAGCCTGTGCCATCTCTGCCACTTGCCAGCTACGCCTCGGCCAGCGCAGGGGGTGGCACCACGCATGCGCAGCGCTCCCGGGCAGGGAAAGTCCTCGACTTATGACCGGTTGGCGGTCGCGGCATTAAAAAGGTTGAGAACCACTGGTCTAGAAGACATAAGAAATTGAGTTAATAAGGATAAAGAAAGATTTTGCTCTTTTGGCTCTAGGCAAGAACCAGAATTTTGTATCTTCTTCGACAGCCGAACTAAAGCAAAAATAAAAATCATTAGTATGTATTCTTTCATTCATGGGTCTGTAGCCTATGTATGTTTGTTTCCAGCTTGGTCACCTAATTATAAATCTAAACAAGTTGAAAACACTAGTTATAATTCTTGATTCACAAGCTATTATGATAATTCTCACAAAATAGTCAGCCAAACCATCAACCTGATGGTCCAGAGTTTTGTATGATTTTTTAAAGCTACTCAACAATTTCTGCATTATTAATGCTCTCAGTGTGCTACACACGCAAAAATAAAAAGTACCATCTTTGCTTAGAGAGAAAAAAGACTATTTGGCTTGAAGATTGCCAGAATTAATCCTGGAAAGTCTCAAGATGGCTGATCTTGTCTGGGTAAGAAATAACAGACTTAATCCTAGTTAATATTTGGATGACCAACAGAAACTCATGCCTGTACAGGTAGGTTGAATTGGGAAATTGAAAAACAATCAGGAAGAAAATAATTACAAACCACCTCTGTATTTCTACCAGGAAACCTGCTTGGACAAACCAATGAAGTCACCAAGAATTGAGCTTGACTCAGATGAAATTTATTTAAAATGCACTTCAAGATATAGTTTCTTCATCTGTTTTTTTCAATTTGATCTTGGAGAACCCACAGATTAAGTTTTATGTTTTCTTTCATTTCTTATGCCACAAAATCCTAATATTATCAAAAGGAAGGCTAATAAAGTAAATACCAGTAGGAAATAAGATTAAGCAACCTTTGACTCAGAGAAAGGCAACCCTCATTCCCCCCGCCCCAGAGACATGATAATCTTCGGGCCTCTTTCTGTAGTGAGAGAGGAAGCCTATGTATTGGAACTGGAACTTTAGACGTACGTAAGATAGTTTCATATAACAGATTGCACTCCTCTCAAGAAAGGAATATTTAAAACATGGCCTCACCTATTCATGTGACAGCCAATCACTTTGCTTCATTGTCTTTTCCAAGATGAGCCTCAGGCCCCCCTCAAATACTAAATACTACAAATACTAAATGTAGCTCTCCATCCACAAGAAATGTGCCCAGCCCTGAGATCTGGGTCAGCATTTCTAGTACATCTCTAAAAATGGGAATTAATGTTTTCAGCAATTGTATGTTAGTAGCTTTAAAAAAAAATTAAGATGGATTCCTTGAAAATCAATCATCACATTATTGCCCATAATCCAGTTTAAGTGCATATGCTTGGCATTAACCATTGTGGGACTTGTTTTGCTTTGTAAAGATGTAGAGACATTGTCATGGCAATGCCTTGTATGTATAATGGAAGAACAATTCCTGTTGCATGATAATTTGGCTGGTAGCCAACACATCCACTTTCTTCTTTTCTTCTTGTACCTATCCTCAAACAGGTATTTATGGGATTCTTGTTAACTACTACAAAAACAGAGATACGTAGCTGTGAGAAGGTGCTAAGTGCACGGATGAGTTTTAATTTAGATCTTTCTGATTTCAATGTTTCACATTGTCTATATCCAATCAGTCACTACATGGAAGTAATGCAGCAGTCTATCTTTTTGGGTGGCTACATACTTCATTATAACAGTTTGTGCTTCACAAGATGATATTGAGCCTCAACTGGATAGCTACTGGAAAAAAAATACTTGGAGTTATAGTTTGAAATAACTTGATTGCTGCTCAGTCTAGAGGGCCATGGATTGAGTAACCATACACAAAATAGATTATGAAAGAATAGTGAAAAGAGCAATTTAGGATTGTCACTCAGGTTGGAATTATTTATTTGTTTAGAAAATGTATATGGCTGCCCACCCACACTCAATGACTGGGCAACCTACAAAATATAAAAACCCAATATACAACAATTAAAACAATAACCCCCACATCCACACCCCACTGACAACATTAATCAGTCAAACAACCTACTTGGTGAGCTCCATTCTACTCTGGGATTATCAAAATGACCAAAAGCAAATGGTAATAGAAGTATTTATACCATTGTTTATTTTGTTATTCAACTTTTTCCCCCTAAATGAGAACATGTTCTACTGAAGCTGACATTTTCTCACAGTAAATGGAAAGAGATTTTCACTTCAGCTTTTTAAGTTTCTACATTAATTGCCACGTGACAGAAAACACTAAATATTCTTTATCCTAAGAGTTAACAGTGAAATCTTGAATTCCAGCACTGATTTCTGAGGAAATCAATTGCAATAATTGATTCAAGAAGTTTGTACTTTATTTGTCTGATACTCTTATTTCAATAATTGCACTTTTTACTTTACTAACTAGAAATGTTTGGAAGTAAGTACTGCTCCCCCCCCCCAAAAAAAGTATAAAAAATTCAAGCGGCATAAAAGAACAAAGATATTTTAAAAGGAGGGAAATAATAGTAAACTGCTTTATTATAATTATTTAAAATATTAGACCTGATGGAAGGAAGTAGAAAGCAACTGTATTACTTTTAAAATTATAAACAAGTGAAGGAAAGTTTGTTTGGTTTTAGTTCCAATTTTAAATAGGTCTCATTAAGTTACTTATTTCATAGTTGTGTGGTTTTTTAAAAAAAAACTAAATTTTTATT